GCTACCGGCTTCGAGCAGCCCCCATGCCTCCGGACCCTGCGCCGCCGGAGCCCGGGAGGGGAAGTGCCCGGCCGGCGGCTGGGGTCCAGAGGCAAGGGGGCTGCCTGAAGCCCATAGCGCTCGGGCAGCTTGGCTCTTAAACAGAGCCAAAGAGTCAGGGGAGGAGCAGAGCCGCCGCGAGAGGGGAAATGCCCGGCCGGCATTTTCCCAGACATGTTCGGCTTTTTGGCAATTCCCCCCGGACGGGGGTTTGATTGCCGAAAAGCCGGACATGTCTGGGAAAAACCGGACATATGGTAACCCTAGTCAAAAGACACAATCGCTCCAATGTGCAGAATAACTGTAACCTGCTATTCTCAAATCTTCACTGACTGGGAAAGTAACTGACCTCTGGGAGTCACTGATCTAATTTTATAAATCCTTCAGGGAAATATTTAAAAAGAAACTGGGAGATGGGAGCAATTTTAGCTACAGTGATTTCCATGGTCAATGAATGGTTCAAATGAAAGACTGCATAAATCCAATAGATACAGTGAGGGTTTGGCTTATATATCTCATAGAGCTGAAAGGGACCTTGGAAGGTCATTGAGTTAAGTTCAGTCCCCTGTCTTCAGCAAGACTAATTTCTGCCCCAGATCCCTAAGTGGCCCCCCTAAGGATTGAACTCACAACCCTGGGTTTAGTGGGCCAATGCTCAAACCACTTAGCTATCCTCCCCTCCATAAATTGGTATAAACTAAATGACATGAAACTATCAACAGTGTAAAGCACCAAGACATCAAACCAACTATAAAAAACAGCCTCACGTTAAGAAACATTAGGTTGGTTGCATTTCCTGAGGGCACGGAGACAGACAGGGCTTGAAGTATTCTTACTGTAATAGATTATACAGGTGGATGGCAGGCAAGGCTTGTTTATGTTTCTCTGTTGGTGAGATATATAGCAGGCAGACTGTGCATGTACAGTAGTGGAAATGGTTTCAGAGGACTCTGCTTTGTAGGACTTCTCTGTCTTTTTACTGTGAGCATTGCTTTATTCTCCCTTCCAGATGTCTGGCATGAAATAACAAAACTTCCATTCACCTCAATGGAGCCAGGATTTCACCCTGTTCTAAAAGCAACCAGCACTATATTTATTTGAAATATCAGATATCATAGGTGTCACCCTTCTGTGATTTACCCTTTTTATTTTGTTGTCCAAGCTGAAAGTTGTGATGTTAAAAAGGGAGTTCTGCTCAAAACCTGGCAGAATGATATAGCTCCATTTATGGTTTTTAATCAGAAGACAAGCTATTAAATATTTGGATATTTTTATATATACACTTGGCAAGGAGGGAAAGAAATAAGTTTAATTAACTTTTCCCTATACAGTCAGAGTTACTTATTTGGTTGCGTTTAGTGAAAGGATTTCTTTTCCCGTCTTTTTGATTATTTGCTCATTATTTCTGATTGCCCATAGTGCCACTTGCATTCTTTTAATACAATATATTAACACTTTGCACTTCTTTAGCACCTTTTCCCCAAGGCTCTCAAAGCACTTTACAGACATTAGCTAGCTAATATTCACAATGCTGAGTGATAGGAAAGTGAGGCATAAAGATATTTTTAAGGCCAACATTTTAAAAAAATGGCCTTTGATTGTGGGTGCCCAATTTAAAACCTGCTGGGTTTGATTTTCAGAGGTGCTGAACACTTTCATCTCCAGTTGCAGTTAATGGGAGCTGCGAGTGCTCATCACTTATGAAGAGTCTGAAGCTGCCCAAAATATTTTAGCCAACGTGACTTGTCCAGGGCCACACAGTAAGTGAGTGGCAGAGTCCAGACCTGGAAACAAAACCCTGATCACCTGACTTCATCTCATGCTCTAACTGCTAGACTACATTCGCCATCTTTTACTGCTGAGTTTAAAACTTTGTAATAATCCAGGTAATATACACGTTACACTATATTTCATACCCTACTGTGCATCTCCAGTGGACTCAGAAACTGATATAATGCCTTCATGTGCATCTGTTGATGCTGAGTTTATCCTCACCCTAATAGTGAACAGTTTTCAAAAGAAATGGTGGGTATTTTCCTGTATTTACAGCAGAATTTAGGACTCAGGGAAAAAAACATGACATGTGATTGTCACACTTGAAGATATAAGCAGATTTGAAGGAAAGACTTTTACACCTCACAATGCCCTCTTATCAGCAACATGCATCTGCTGAGAGTATTTTATAAAGTGTAATATTTTGAATTGTGTTTTGCAAACAGAGATACTGCAATCTATTTAAGGAAATAAAAATCTTTAATATTAATTCAATTAATGTAAATGCTGTGTTTAAATTAGCTTAAGCAGATGACCCTGGCATGTTACATATGGGGAAAACTGTTTCTAGTTATATTAACAGAGAAAATTCGAGTATTAATACAAACATACTGGAAATATTTTAATAAATAAATATAAAATATTTTACTTGCAAAAAATAGGCCTCAATGAGAAATCTTTCTTACTTCAAGTGACTTCTAGATCCTTCAGCTGACTTCTAGACCCTACATTTAAAATGATGCATTTATTAAACTTGTCAAATTAATTATGCTTTATCTATAAAATTAAATAATTGAACTGGAATTCTGATAGTTGTGTGCAAGTATTAAAAGTTATTAACTTTTTAAATGTCAACATTAAAATTTTAAATAGTGCTGCATGTACAATATCATAAATACCAAAATATTCAGAGCTACAGTTTTAGTCATTTAATTTATAGAAAGTGCTTATCAGGTATTTAAATCCATTTACAGTCGAATTCACTGGTGTAAATCAGTGCTCAGATTTGACTATTTGACCATTTGACTATCACTCATAACAAATCTTTTATTTTAAGATACTTTCACCTGACTAGATGGAATAGGAGGTTTTATTTCTGCAGATGTTCATGACAAATATTTAATGTTTCAAATACTTTATAAAAGGTGTAGATTTTGTGTTTCTTTTTGCAGTGCATTTTTAAAAACAGACTTATAACTGAAGGTTTGCGTTCACTCAGGAATGCCATGGAAGCTCTTAAGTCACGGACTTAACTCTACGGTCCACCTAAATCCCAGACGCTTTTTTTCTCACCCAGAGAAGTTGGTTCAATAAAAGATTACATCATCCACCTTGCCTCACAGTTCAGAAGATGAAGATCTGTAGTACTGCCATTACAACAGCCTTCTCCAAAAAAGTGCTTTGCAATTTGTTTAGAAAAAAGAAAATCAAAATGCTGCACTAGCATTTTAGAGCTCATTGTCCAGAAACAGTTTGGCTTTAATAAATGCACATTCTGGAGAGTTAGGCTATTCTTTGCAATAAAATCAAAGTTTGATGCTCTGTCAAGAATTTCTGTCTCTCTTCATGCAGACCTGACAGCGGCTGATGACGTTTTCCAATTCCCCTGCTTTTAAAATCTGTGGTAAAGGCTTCCTAAAAGAAAGAGAATAACACATGTACTTTTCTTTTTAAAATAGGAGTGAGGTGGTGGGAGTTTTCTATATTTGCACTCTTGTCTCTGTCCCCATCACCCCAGCTCTCACATAGCTCTTAGCCAGCCTCACCAGGGCATGTATCACAAGGACTCCCTACACTAAGTATCAGAGGGGTAGCCGTGTTAGTCTGAATCTGTAAAAAGCAACAGAGGGTCCTGTGGCACCTTTGAGACTAACAGAAGTATTGGGAGCATAAGCTTTCGTGGGTAAGAACCTCACTTCTTCAGATGCAGATCTGAAGAAGTGAGGTTCTTACCCACGAAAGCTTATGCTCCCTACTTCTGTTAGTCTCAAAGGTGCCACAGGACCCTCTGTTGCTTTTTACACTAAGTACTGATTTTGAGCCAGAGTAAGTGAGGTAAAGTACCACAATCCCATCATTGTTATCTAGACTGTTAGGGTCTAATCCAAAGACCAAGTCTTTATATTGGGTTTTGGATCAAAGCTTTAGATTCCCCTATTTTTAAAAATCGGTTCTCATCTCCTTAAGCAAGAGGTGAAAGGTGATGTCAATGTAACCCACACATCTCCTGGTTGTGGTGTTCTGTCCCATCTAGTGGCATCAAGACCACTTAGAGAGAGAGAGAGAGAAAATGAGTCTCCTCTACAGCCTTAGCTAACAGCCAGTTGGCTTTTAGCTCATGTGGTAGAGACTCATGCACTAAACTCCAGAAGCCCCAGATTTGATCCCGACCGACGACAACCAGGGTCTGTCAGCGTTGCATCAACTGACAAGACTGGGGCATGACCATTAGCTGCCTTGAAGAATGAAATGTGTGTTAGTATACAGTGAGCATATGCTGACAGTGCAGCCCTCAAGAGCATAGGGATATGTACAGCAACACACAATGCATGTGTGTAGGGTTGCCCCTGAATGTGTACAAGATGACCACAAGGCATAAAGTACATGCCAAGAAAAGATGGAGGGATTATAAAGGACACATTCTTGAAACATCAGTGCTGTTTATGGTTGTAGGAAGAAATATAAAAAGCTTTCTGGGATATATGAACTTGGAAAATACTCACTTTTCCCCATATCGAAATTTAGCATGAAGGAGCCAAATTCTGCACTAATATACACCTTGGAAATCCCACTGAAATTGTCGGGATTGTATAGGGTGGAAATCAGTATAGAATCAGGATCGAGAAGTTCCAGTGCGCTTTGGCTTACTTGCTGCTTTCTAGAAAATTCACCATTGACATAAGCAAAGGAAACCGCTGAAGATAATGGAATTGCACCTGCTTATATTAGTGGTGAATATTTCCCGATGCATTTAAAAGACTTGTTTTGGGAAGGCTGAGATTTAAAGAAATTAAGGCTTTGATCCTCTGTTAGGCCCCTTTGTGCTGTTCCAACACTGCAAAATGACCCTAAAGCCAACTTAGCCACCCTCGCAAGAATGACTCACAGGATGTTCAGATAATGTACAGCTAAGTTAATGGCTCCTATGCTACCCCTGGACCTGCAGCAACGGTGGCTGGTGTGGATGAAGGCAACGGGTCATAGCTGAGTCACTGGGAAAGCAAAGGTTACCTGAACATTCTTCTTGGATCTAGTGAAGCCAGCCAGAAGCTGTAGGAATTTGTGTAGTAGTTGCATGTCCCTCTACCATGACATTCTATGAATGGAATGGCACGGAATTCTTCCAAGCAGGATCCAGGTGATGCCAATGCTTGGCCAGAGGCTTCTGAACCGGCACTTGTGTACTGTAACCACAAAACTATCTTTAATGAACATCTGCTAAACACCTTTTACTGAACAGAATGCAAGAAATATCTTTCTAAAAAGCACTGTGTGAAGTAGCATTCTAGCAAAGTACCATTGTGCAGCTGAGCTAAAACAACAATCAGCACAGATTAATTTTACTGAATGATGGATTATATTTTGGGATGGTGGTATTTTGACATTAATACAATTTACTACCTTGTAAAGAAGTCCAGTACAGAAGCTTTAGGACAATTCAAAGGACTTTGTGGTATTTCTCTAATCCCTGCAAAGGTGTTTTTCTCTGTCAGGTGAGAGGTCATGAGAACCAGCTCCCAGGACAAAGATAGAAATTCCCTGGAAGAGGTTTGGCACCTGCTTAGTTAAGGACCATAGTAACCTGATTTCAAATGAGCCATTTCTCCAATTTTAATCTGTGCATTGTTTTCCCTTGCACTGATTGCTTCTCTCTTCATAGAAAGCGGAGAAGGAACTTTTCTTATCTGCAGTGGAAAATGTGCTGGTAGAAATGCCCATAAAATGACCCTTTACAGTAGAACACTTTGGATGGAAACCTCTTGCAGTTGATAAAAATCTGCATGTTTAAAATCAGCACACGGTCGTAACCACACCCTAGAATCAAGCTATCTTTCTTTCCTTTCTTCTTGAAGCAGCTTTACATTACTTAGGGACAAATCCTGGGAAAACAGCAAACCCCACTCTCCATGTAAAAGGGTGTTGCTCCACGTGAAAAGGATGTGGAGCAGAAGGATGGAATTTTTAGTCTCGGTCAGTCATCCACAGCTGCTAATGTAGGGTATAAGGATTCGGAGGAGTAGGAAAGGTTGTATGATGATCCCCCCCACCCTCCAATATGGACACACACCTACCCCCTTACCCATCCCTCTCCATGGTAAGTCACAGAGGATCTTCTCCAAATTTCATAAATGGGATGTGCTCTCCCCCTTGACGGGGTTTATGTTGCTGCTGTCCTGCTCTGCAATCAGCACACAATTTTTAACCAGATTATGGATTTTCAGTGGAGTTTGGCCCTTACGTTTGATTTACATTAACACTGCCTGGTATTGTTAAGGCTATAACTCTAGTTTCTAAAATGGTGTTGAATATGTTTTGCCCTCAGCTACACTTGCTCTGCAACTGTATTTAGGAAGAGTTCAGCTGCACCATCGATGACACCTGCTTTTGTTGTAGTCTAGACAGTTATGAAAAAACACAGTTCATTTACTTTTCATCTGTCCACAGTAACCAGAATCCCAAAGTTCTCCTTTCACTACTTCCCCTTTTCTTCTAGAGGTTGGCACCTATTGCTTAGATAGATCTGAGACCCTTCCTGTAGCTGGTTGTTCTGGAGCTTCTGCCATTAGCATGAAAGCCAAAAGGATTAATAAGAGTCTTGCCTGTTTTTAGCCAAAAAAAGAGAGAACATTATGGCATTCTTAAAACAAAACAAAAAAACCTATGGGCAAATGCCAGAAATACTGAGAGGACAGAAATAGGGAGAGTTCTTTTCAGGTAGAAGAACGCGTTAGCTTTCCAAACTGTGTTAGCAGCACCCAGTGAGTATTTTTTGTCTATTTTCCCCTTACCATAACAAAGGAAAAACCCTTCCAGAGAGATATCCAGCCTTGAGGACATAAAGGAATTGCAGTTGTTTGGCTGTGAACTGCTATTACAACTGCTGGTCCTTCACAAACAATACATCTGTAATACGAAACACATAAATATTGGGTGAATTATTCCAGACATTTATATACAATTCCCATCCCATTACAAGCATTGGTCTGAATTTTGGAATTTGCACTCATAACATTGCCCCCATGGAAACAGGTAAACTGGTAACCAGCTGTCAGGTACTAGACTATCCAAAATACATGACTTTACAATTTCCATCCACTGCAAGGAATTGGTGAGGCAAGGAGATTAGCCCTAGAACACTTTAATCATCCTAATGCTGCCATTACTGAAATGAAAGGTTAAAACTTGCTTGCTTTAGATACTCACTGCTTGTGGTGTTATATATTTTTACCCTGGAATACTCGGCAACTTTATTTGCCACGATTAGAAAAATCTGTTTCATCCACTAACGAAGGAATATAGACCAAATCTTGGGGTGTGACTGAACTGCACGGAGTGCTGCAAAGGGGGTGGGGTGCATGTTGATCTAAAGCTTGCTTTTACACCCTCTGGCCTTATGATGCTCTGTGCAGTGCTGCTGATGTTTTAAAGTTGCCTGAGCGCTTCTCTAACTTAGGCTAGGCTGAAAAAGGCCATATGGGACCAAAAATGCAGCTGAGGACTGACACAGTACAGGAGCACCACAGCCATGCCCCATTTCTTCCAGCCACATTCTCTTTTTCTCAAACTCTGATTCTGTAACTAAATAAATAAAATAAATTAATGGAGATATCCCATCTCCTAGAACTGGAAGGGACCTTGAAAGGTAATCAAGTCCAGCCCCCTACCTTCACTAGCAGGACCAAGTACTGATTTTGCCCCAGATCCCTAAATGGCCCCCTCAAGGATTGAACTTACAACCCTGGGTTTAGCAGGCAAATGCTCAAACCACTGAGCTATCCCTCCCCCCAAGGACAGAGATCTGTTGTCAGCTATACATCTCTCAAGAATCATCTGTGCATACAATAGTGTGATTCTCCCTGGTCCAGTGAAGATGGCTTTAGGGGCAGATTACATGGGTGGTATGGTACAAAGTGGCTGTGGAAAATCTGGCCCTACAGGTGCAGGAGGTCCCCAAATACTATGACAGGTTTCAGAGTAGCAGCCGTGTTAGTCTGTATCCGCAAAAAGAACAGGAGTACTTGTGGCACCTTAGAGACTAACAAAGAAGAAGAAGTGGGCTGTAGTCCACGAAAGCTTATGCTCTAATAAATTTGTTAGTCTCTAAGGTGCCACAAGTACTCCTGTTCTTTTCCCAAATACTATGGTGATAGAGTCTTGAAGATGGGTCTGTAAACAGGATAAAGGATGTAAAATGAGACCCTACACCGCATAACTACCTTGGGACATTGTGCACAAGAATTCTCAGCTTTAGGGCTTGTCTATACTACCCACCGGATCGGCGGGCGGTGAGTGATCCAGCGGGGGGCACAATAAATTGACTGCTGAGTACTCTTCTGTCGACTCCGGTACTCCACCGGAACGAGGAGCGCAAGCAGAGCTGACGGCAGAGCGTCAGCTGTCGACCTACCGCAGTGAAGACACCATGGTAAGTAGATCTAAGTATGTCAACTCCAGCTACGCTATTCACATAGCTGAAGTTGCGTATCTTAGATCGACTCTATGCGGTAGTGTAGACAAGCCCTCAGTCTCTAATTTTCCTGCACTGATCACAGTAACTATGGTTTATTCCAGTATATGTTCATTAAAGTAAATTCAACTGTAAGAAGACAACACATTCCTAATGTTGAAATGAAGTGTTTCCTTTTAGCCTGTCCAAATCTAAGAGCTTGTCTACACTGCCGTGTGGGGTTGATCTAAGGCCTGGTCTACACTGGGGAGGGGGAATCAATCTAAGATATGCAACTTCAGCTACGAGAATAGCATAGCTGAAGTCGACGTATCTTAGATCAACTTAGAATCACTTACTTCATGTCCTCGCGGCGCGGGATCGACGGCTGCCTCTCCCCCGTCGACTCCGCTTCTGCCTCTCGCCGTGGTGGAGTTCCAGAGTCGACGGCAGAGCGATCAGGGATTGATTTATCGCATCTACACTAGACGCGATAAATCGATCTCTGATAGATCGATCAATACCCGCCGATCCGGCGGGTATTGTAGACGTACCCTAAGATACGCAACTTCAGCTATGTGAATAGCGCAGCTGGAGTCGACATACTTAGATCTACTTACCGCGGTGTCTTGACTGCAATAAGTCAACAGCTGATGCTCTGCCGTCGACTCCACTTGCGCTCCTCGTTCCGGTGGAGTACCGGAGTTGACAGAAGAGCGCTCAGCGGTCGATTTATTGCGTCTATAATTGACCCCTGCTGGATCGATCACTGCCCGCTGATCTGGGCCCTAATACACCTGCACATGGAGCAGCTGATCATTATGTAACTATTGCTACTTAATATCATCAGGGTCAGTGAGATTTTGGGTTGTCTTTCTTATGCCAGTTATGCAAATTAAACATACCGTAGCTTTAACTAGGATAACTGAATGTTTAAATGAACATTTGCAGTAGCCATTTTTGTCCCAGGCTATTAGAGAGACAAGTTGGGTGAGGTAATATCTTGTATTGGACCAACTTCTGTTAGTGTAAGAGACAAGCTTTCGACCTACACAGAGCTCTTCTTCAGGTCAGGGAAAGGTACTCAGGGATGTCAGAGCTAAATACAAAATTGTCTAGTATAATTAGTTAACACATATTCTAAGAAATTATTTAAATTGAAGTGGCCCATTAACACCCCTGCAGTCATAGGACAAAAAAGGAAGATAAGTGAGTTTCAGACTGTGTAATAAGCCATGGCTTATTACAATCTGTTGGAAGCTAAACCATCTGTTTTACCTTGTATTTAGCTGTGACATCCCGAGTACCTTTCCCAGGTCTGAAGAAGAGTTTTGTGTAGTTTGAAAGCTTGTCTCTCTCACCAACAGCAGTTGGTCCAATAAAAGATATTACCCCACCCATCTTATCTCTTTAAATGAATGTCTCAGTTTTGGTTTCGGGGTCTTCTTGATATTTGCTCATTTAGGTTAGATCTAAATTATTCACCATTTTGGACTTTGGTACCACATATCAAACACATATTCAAACATGATCAAATATCCAGGTGGCTGAATTCAGAGCTTGTATTGGCTAAGACAGGCAGGCTGCCCGGAAAAAAACAAGATTGTATTACAGAACTGTGAATGGAGGAGTTTGAAATATTTCTACTAGAGCCTTGCAAATTCTTCTGTTCACAGAGAGAGATTGTTATTGAAAGTCTAGTTAATTTGTTAGCTACTGGCATAGTATTTTTTAATATTTTTTCATTTTGAAAGCTTAACTCATCTGTACTTGGCATTTTGCTGTTCAAAATAAATGAAGTTATCTGTGTAGGTCGGAAGAGGGGCTGAAGTTATTACTCATACCTGCTAATATAGGGCTGTAAGGCTCTGCCAGAGATTGGTGCCATGTCTTCTGGCATTGGTGCTGCAGTTGACAGCCAGTATGAATAGTCATTGCGAGAAGCAAAACTGCAAACGTCATTGGTGTTACAGAATAAAAATGGCATGGTGGTAAATTGCTGCAGGCAGCTACCAACTGTCCCTGAAAGACATAGGATGGCAGTCTTGTGAAAGCTATGAGAGATATTTAGCATAACAAATGGAACAGTGATAAGATCCAAACTACAGCACTAAGAATAAATACAGATAGAGCATGTAAAGAAAAGAAGCCACTTCTCTGTACAGTAGTACCATAAGTAAGGGACTCTGATGATTAAATACAAAGAGGCTACATTAAAATAGCATGGGGGCTAAGAACAAAATCTGTTGAAAGCAAGGAATTATTTCTTTTGATTAATTCTGCAATAATATCCTTCACCTAGTCCCTGATACTGAATGGCCAAGGGGAGCAAAGGAGACAGGGATGCTGGGAAGGAACTATCTCCCTGAGCCATGATTTCTTCCCTGGGTCTCTCTTGAGGTGGTAGAGCTACTTACTTCCCCTTTTATGGGACTGGTTGCATGAGCACTATCTAGCCCTTAGTGTACAGTGGAGATTAGTATCTCTGACTGATATTTTCATTTCAGGTAAATGATGAGATATTTACTGCACATTTGCCTTTCTCGTCACTAGTTTAGGCTCATTGCCCTATTCAGTAAGGTGGCCATGGGTTTTATAGAAAATAGTTTTAAAAAATTCTTTCTAAGATGGTACCAAGGTCTTGGCCATGTGCTTGCTCATTTCCTTGTACAAAGAGAAGAGAATAACCACTGTAGATCTGAGCTGTCCCAGATGGGCATGAAGGAATCTTTGTTGACTGGCTGTGCCGGGTAAAGATGAAGCCTCTTCTTGTTGGACCAGGTATTGAAATACCTGGGGAACCAGGTAGGCCCTGTACTCCTGGAAAGCCAATAAGCCCAGGAGATCCTGTAAAACAAAACAAAACAAAACAAATCAACACCACACCAAAACATACATAATTTTATCCTATTACTCTTTAAACAGTATGTCTCTGATTTGTTTCTGAAGTGACTGAACCCATCCGGAAACAAAATTTTAAATAGTTCAACAACTTAAATATTGTTATTATCTGCCTTCCAGTAGCATCTAGAGTTCCCAACAGACAAACAACCCCTGTCCCAAAGAGCTTGCACTCTAAAGAGACAAGACAGACAAAAGCTTGGAAGGCAAAGAGACGTGAAATGACCCGTGGAAGGTAACATAGCAGGAGAGTCAGGAATAGAATCTGGAACTCCCACGTGAATGTCTGAGCCACTAGAATACACTGTCTCTCCTGGATCAAGCTATCGTCCCACATATATCTACATGTATCTTTCTACAAAAACTACATTTTAAAATTCTCACCTAACTTGAGAAATTTGATAATTTCACGTACATTATACAAATAGATATTGTACAAAACCGATACATGTTTTAAATACGTTCAAAAGGTACATGAATAGCTTTTGTGTGGAACAAATAAAACAATATTAGTTATAAAATACAATGCAATTTGATTCTATATAGCATTCTTCTAAAATGCACAGTGCTAAAAAACATGGTTTCCTTTGCAGGAGATGGGTAAATGTAAAAACATTTTATGGTGAATGACTTAAAAACAAGCAGGTCCAATTTGCTGTTCTATAATTGACTGTTTATATAAAAAGTAAGGAGCCTTGGTGATTGGTGATGGACATGGACTTCTAAATAAACAAACAAACATTGTCAATCACAGAGGGAGAGAGAAGTTAAGCAGCATAACCAAGGGAGGAAAGGGATGTTTTCAAATGAGATCTGAAAAGAGATGATTTTAGTGGGACTATTCATGTGTTTAAAGTTAAGCATGTGCATAAGTGCTTTGCTGAATCTAAGCCTGAGTGAGGGTGTCATAATGTAATTTGTATCTGAATGGAAGGATCCCCAGAATGGAGTCCAACTTATCTGCAGCTTCAGTCAGCATGATGGGACACAAAGAGCTATGTCTGCTTCACTGTACCTCTTTGTCCTTGAAATCCTTTGTCTCCTTTTGGACCAACTGGTCCAACTATGCCTGGATTTCCACAATGGCCTGGTAGGCCTTTTACACCTTGACGTCCTGTGTTGTATACACAAGAATATATATATGTTAATATAACAACAATTATTCTACATATACACAATTACCAATGACAAAAAACAAACAAAACAAAAACAATCAGCCAGACAAACAACACCTGAGTGCAGCTTCATAACAGCAGATACTGTGGCATAGTTTTCTATAGAATCAAATGCTTTAAAGTCAGAATTCTATAACATTTCTGTCACCAGATTTTGCATCAAATAAATTAGGAAGATGATATAAAAATAGTAGCTATATGTAGAACGTTTTAATTTTCACAATAGATTGTGTTAATATTATTGTTAATTTTGTAACAGTCAGGCCTCGATTTACACGGGTTTTTTTGCATGGTTTCAGTTATGCATGGTAAATTAATTGTGGCCCTTTATTTTTGTACACGGTATGGATTCTCTTTTACATGGTGTGGCGCGGTCACCAAGATGCGCAGATCAATGGCGTAGCCAGGATGGGACACTTGGGTGGGCCCTGACTTTGGGTGGGTGGGTGGGCAATGACAGGGGTAGGAGTAGGGTTACCATATTTCCACAAGCAAAAAAGGGGACATGGGGGGGAGGAGCCCCGTTCTAGCCCCACCCCTGCCCCACCCCCATCCACTCCCTTCCACTTCCCACCCCGATTGCCCCCCTCAGAACCTCCAACCCCCCCCCGCTCCTTGTCCCCTGACTGCCCCCTCCAGGGACCCCTGCCAGTAACTGCCCCCTAGGATCCCACCCCCTATCTAAGCCGCCCTGCTTCTTGTCCCCTCACTGCCCCCCTACGACCCTACCTGTCCCCTGATTGCCCCGACCA